AGTTTGGAATGTGCGGCACTGGCAGAGATGGCTACCGTCGGAAAAGAGCAAGACGAGGTAGTCGAAGGTCCTGCCATCATCACGATGTTCGCGAATGCCGAAGACGTAGATGACGTCGCAAAGCTTGTCTTCGATGTACTCGAACGTGCATCCCAAAGCTGCCGCGCGTTCTGATCCATCCACCTACCCACCATCTATCTGGCAATACAAGATGGCCGCGGTCATCTCTTGCTCCATTAACCGCCGCGGCCAGGCCGCGATGGAGAATTCGCAGGACTCCAAGACACTTTTGAAAGCGGTCGTCGGTTGGAGTAGCCATTCGAGCAGGCGGCAGGTGGTCGATAGCGTCACGCCGCGCGGATGCATCCTTCTGGGAGCAGATGATTCCCGAAAAAGTAATTGCACTTATCCTTGATGAGGGCGTTTTGGCCTGTTGTGCGTGCGGCGGACCAACACGCAAGAAGCGACACACAAACCGTGGGTTAGTGAGTTGTGTCATCAGACATCGTCCTTAGTCGTCGGAGGGCAACCACTGAACGAGAAGACCATGACATGGACGGAGTGTTTCACGCCCCCATGGCGACGTATGTATGTACACGCGAGCCGGACGATAACAGTGCATCAATTCCGGACCAACAGGGTCCGGACAACAGCCAGATGTTTCGAAGAGGTGGTTAAGATTAGCGGCATGTAGGGCAGTGGTTCCTGAAGAAGCACCCATCGATGTCAGAGTACATGGGGGCCACTCAAGCAGGATAGCCGCCCCCAACCCCAACAGACGTAGAACGACCCCCCAAAACAACAACACTACATGCGCTGTCGTTCCCAAACAAAACACTCATCGCAAATGACGCATGAACGCACCTTCAACTCTTGGTGTCGTCCACGAACCCACGGAGAAAACCAGAGGCGACACATATTCCGCCCACCGCGTGCGGTCGTCGTATACCGCTCGCATGTACTTCTCCGTCTGCGGGTACTTGGCGATGAGGGCGTTGAACTTCCTTTCGAACTTCGCCAGTGACAGCTGCTGACGCACACACCTGAACTCGTCCATGAAAGCCTGCGCAAAGCACGAGCAGGCAGACCGTCCCCGGAACGAAGCAGGCGAGGTGGGTGTTGCTTGAGTTAGGGCCTCGGCGCATGAGCTACCGGCCTGTACGATTGACTGTCAACACCAACCCCGTACATTCCTTTAGCGCTAAGGTGAGACGAGACGAGAAGCAAAGGGGACACGGGGTTGAAAAAGGTCAGCGACAGACCATTTGTGCTTACGACCTGCTGCTGGTGCTGCTGGTGCTGCTTTTTCTGTGGGCACGGGACGCGCCTATTGTACGCAAGGACGCTGGAAATCACTCTTCCAAGTAGACGGTAACGCCACTGACCCATGACAACGTACGAACTTGCACAGGGGTTAGGACAGGAGATACAAGTGGTAGTGTGTGTGTGGGGGGGGCTAGAGTGTGCAGTGTACGTCGCGCGATCAGGAGACCAGGAGAGGCCAGACTAACCATGCCAACACACACGGTAGAGCATACCTTCATCTGCCCGCCAAGGTCTTTAGCGAGGGCCTTCATGATGTGTTGGTAGAGGTGCCATAAGCAGCGCCTCGCCAGCGCGTCCGGGAACACCTCGCGCACCGCCGCCGTCATGGCCACATCCGCGTCCTGGATGAAGATATCTGGCTGCTTCCCTCCGCGAGACCTCAACGCACTCTTCAACATCCACACGAAAGTGTTCGTTGTGGTGTCCGCCGTTATGCTTTGGCCGACGATTCGCGTCCGATACTCCGAATCGATGACGGCGAGCACGCCGAGGGGCATGCGGTACCTGTTCTTGACGGTGTCGTCTTACAGCGTAACGTGACCGTACCGATTCCAAAGCGCCATCTGCGTATTCGGAGCATGACGTCGAAGTGGGTCGAAAGCACTCCATCGTGGGTGTGACGTGTGTTCGACGCATCACAACGCACCCGCACACCCGCACCCTTGCCTACGTCCTGCTCTCAGTCATACGTTCTGCATTTGCGGACGGCCAAGTGGTACGTGCGACACGATGACAAAATGAAAGCAAACCTTTTCCCGCAGGGGAGTATTCGTGCGGGGCACGACGACCGGCGACGTACCTGCTCTCTCGTTTGCCACCAGATATGCGTCAGGCGGCCGCTGTCATCCATCTTGATCTCGCACACTCCGCCGTCGGCAGTGACGGCCATGACCTGGAATTGCATTGTGATTATAACAACACACAACATGCCAAGCGCCCGGAAATGTCGAGGGCGCCGACAATAAACGAACAATATTTCTTGGTTTGGTGTCACGGCACATATTCGCCCGAGTGCCACAAGGGATAGTGCGTGTATGGTCGCCCGGATACCGCCCTGAGCAACAAAAAACATCCCACACACGAGAGGCAACAGTCTCAACGGGAACATGGACATACCTCTTCGTATGCATCGGCAGCATCCCTCGGCTTCTCCGCCCCATGCACACTGGCAGCCACGTTCTGCACCGCGCGCCTGTTGATCTCGATGTCGCTGTCCTCGTGTAACGCCTGGATTGCTTCATGCACAGCTTTGGGCTTCATCCCCTTACCTGCGCCGTATGGGAGAACCGGGAGCAAAAATCAACTCGTGTGTCAGCGAACGCCCGCTAGCAACGTGAAGGTGACAACAGCACTACGCTTCAAGGGCTGTTCGTCATTCGATATCGTGACAACCGACCACGACAAGCCGAGGGGCACGACGGGAGCTACTTTAGACCTACCCCAACGCGTTCAATCTCCTCACTTGTCATCTTCTCCACTTGTCCCCGCTGCTCCTCCGTTAGCTTTCCGGCGAGGCGGAGCTTCACGGCCATAGCCTGGCGGTCGACTACGTGGTTGTGCCCGAGCTTTATGTTGGTAATCTTGGGCCGAGGGTGGGAGTTCGCGTGCCGGACGCTAACCTGAATGAACGGAAGGGTGGGTCCACAAAAAAGGAGAGAGGAGAAATAACTAAAGGATGGATTCGTGGGATAAAGGTGTGAAATGGATTACAACGTGGATCACAAGACACCCGACCGACCCCCTCCATTTCAAATTCGCACTTCGGAAATCCTTTTCCAATCATCTCGCGCTCGCATACTTTCGCCATTTGTTGGGACATTTCTCGGTCCACTGCAACAAAACATGTTCCGTGGGAGACCAGCACCTACCTCAAACTGACAACCAGTCCTCGCGCTTCCTTTCCTGTTCCGCCGTATTACCCCAGGTTCTGCAACACGCGGCGATATGGGAGACGAAGTGAAGGCAGTGTGTCATGTATGAACCTGCACCGAAGCATGCATGCTTACAACAGGCTTGCCCGCGACTCGCCCCGTTGTCGTCGCCTCAATCGTTTTCCTACCAAGCCCAAGTGCCATGGATGAAACGCTTACCGGTGTCAAGCCTGGCTTCGTGCTCCAGTTGCCGGCTACCCCCGCCTCGAGTACAAATCAGCTTCTTCATGTCCACACGATCCGTTCCGCCGTCGCGACACCTCGTCGACTTCGCGGTAGAAAGGACAACCCCTTCGAAGGCGCACGTCCTCACCACCTCCTCCACCACGTCTTCAAGTATTTTTCCCTCCGTCTGCACTGCCTCCAGCTCCGTCGTTAACAAAGCCGGGTCGTACACCTAGTGTTCAAGCCACAATACGACGGGATAGACAACGGCACGTGGTTCGGGGTTTGGAGGGTTCTACAGCAGTGGGGCACCGAGCACACAAATACCCGAAGTGGATCACTGTACAAAAGCACCGAGCAGGCGAATGCACCGGCAAGTAACACCCCGGCCAAACAAAACATGCATCGTCGTTGGCCCATGCCATGGCGGCCTCCCCGTCGTTCTTCAGATTGCAACACTACGCGCATTGTCACCTGCGTCTCCGGCGGAGGGCTGGTGGTAAACATCGGCTGCTGTTGTTGCTGTCCGGGGTGGGCTTGGACAAGGTAGCCGGCAAAAGCTCCGGCCGCCAGCAACGGAAGCACCGGAAGCACCGGAAGCACAGCCAGGGGCCGGAGTCCCCAACGGTAGAGCAGTACCAGGCGGAAGCATGGCCTGTCACTCGCACGCGAAACCCACCACACGGCGGAGGGGCAGAAAACCGTATCAATTGTTGATCATAAGAAGAAACATATGACACGTTTCGCCGTCACCTGGTGAAGAAAACGTAAAAGCATACGTCAACAGCGAACCGTACGTGCAAGCGTTCAATTGCACCAGGCATGGCACAGCAGGAAAGACCCATTGGCATGCTACACCCGCGGAAACAACGGGAAGGCCTGTACAGGGCGCCTTGATGTGGACGGGGTGAATGCCACGTACCGGTACTATTGGCATGCGGGCCATGGGGGAATAGCAACAGCAACACAAGCAAAGAAAGCACGCAAAAAAAGGGAGGGTGTTACGCCAACAGCACGTGACAAACACCAACACGTCTCACCTGCGTTTCCGGCGGAGGGCTGGAGGTCAGTATCGGCTGCTGTTGTTGCTGTACGGGGTGGGCTTGGAGAGGGTAGATAGGAAAAGCTCCGGCCGCGCCAATAACGGGGGCACCGCCAGAGGTCGGCAGAGCAGCACTACATGCAGATGGAAGCATGCCTACCAACGACACCACCGCACGGCAGGACACGGGTCCCACGACACGAGCATGGAGGGTAGACACATGGCGTAAACGGGTCAGGCAAATGCGTGCACATGACCCAGCACCAGCACCAGCCCAGTAGCCACCACCATCGCCCAGCAGCAAACAAGGACGATACAAGTACTCCGGAGTACACGGCAAAGGCGCACGTATACGATCACACAACCAGGGGCCTGGCCGCGCCTGGCCTGACCACACTGCTGTATGTAAAGTCTGTCCGGTTAAATTTTGCCACAACGTGACCCCCACTTTTTCTCGCTCATTTTTTTTAGGAATTGAATCGTGAAACAAAGTTGGCAAGAACCGCACGGTCGAGAAGCATCGAAATCCGGGGTAAAAAAAAAAATCCGTGTATTTGGCCACTTTTTGGCGAATTTGACCCCCCCATGATCCCACGGGGCCCCCAATAACCCCCACGGGACCCCCATTCTCCCCGAAACTGCCTCGAAACGCCGACATACTATCCCGCCGCATTTGTCGGAGTCGCCGTCTGTGTCGTTTGCTCTTGCCGTCATACTTGACGTGTCCCGAGCTGCCCGAGCTGCAGCTGCCGAGGTCGCTGTCACTGCTGTGTTGGCTGCTGCTGCTGTGGCCCTCCTCGTCTCCTTCATAACATGTGTCGTTGCCATGTTCTGGTGGAGTGTCCGCAGCGAGTGGTTCTGGTGGTGCAGCAGCAGCTGTAAACTGACCAGCTTTGTTGAAGGCGCGCTTCCTTTTTGGAGGACGCCCGGCACCACGACGCCCGGACATGTGTAGACTTGTGTGGGCCCTCTTGGGGTGCCC